GATTCTGCCACGCTAATCATTTGAATGACGCGTTGCCAACTCTAAAGTTGTAACAGGTTTTTAAAATGATTATAAAATCAAGATGTTTGACTCGTCCGACTCCACGGCACAATGTTGGTAGTTTGGAAGTCTTTGTGCTGACATAGGTTTTTAGAGTTGGTTCTGTTTCCGACAGAGAAGGACTGGCTGTCAAAATTGGCTCTGGCATTAAAATGTAACACCTGGCATTTGATGACCATCTAATTGTACCTGTCCACACATAGAAAGTAATAGAATGCATACAAAACTGAATAGATTCATATATATTAATGCGTGTATAATGTGCGAACAAGACTCTGGCCCCAAAACCTTCCTATAAAACAAAAACTTGGGTCGGTAATTCGCTCGAATGCTGATAGAGCCTCATATCTACTGATGTAGATAATAATAATTGCTTGTCAGGTTTCTAACCCAGTTCGTGTTTGTAATTTGTAGTTGTTGTTTTTTTTAAATCCGTTTAAAACGTTCTATACTATTAGATTAATCTGCTATGGTTTTCTTGATATGTATATATATATATATATCACTTTTTTTCCCTTTGTAGTCTCATATATATTACATAGATATAAACTATTGAACACCTAAACTTCCTGGTTTGGTTGTCAATACTAGAGTAGCCTGTTTACAATCGTTGCTTGGTGGTAGCCTGTTAGAAATCATTGCTTGGTGATTGCCTGTTTAACTTTTTTTTTTGGATTGGTCTGTTCTATTCCTTGCATTTTTTATGTCTAACTCATAACATCTTAAATTTTAACTACTTCGGAATCGATACGTGATCATAAAATGGAAACTATATTTACAAATGTCTTATTATTTATCGCGATATTTATGGACAAACTTGCCAAGCACACATTTGATAATTGAAAGGTTTAATTTATTGAATTACGAAACCTAAACAAAATATTGTTTGAATAATTTTCTCTAAGCGCTGAATTCTGTTCATATAAAATTCAAAATTTATCTTCACTATTATCCACTGGCCTGAAAAAATGCCTGATATGTTTATTCATAAGAGTAGTTTCATTCTATTGGAGATTTGCAAGATACAACTTTAGCACAGTAATCTCCTCTTTGTTTGCATTTCGATTGTAAAGCCTGTTTACCTCCATTAAGTAATAATAAAAAACATAGAAAAAGAAGAAATCAATATGGTAAAATGTGGGGGTGATCAAAAGTAACTTGAAGATAAATGCAAGAAAATAAAATGATCAAGATGTGGATAGTTTTAGAAAAAAAAATGTTCATTACGCCATATTGAAAGATAACTGTTGCCAACTAATAATACTGGTAATGATTTTTTTAAAAAAAGAATATTATTTTCTAGCTTGATAGATAGATGTGTACATTTAAATAGTTGTCTAGTTTATAATAACATATCAAATTTTATCTTATTCGAATTTAATTTTGATCTGACATTTAAAAAACATTTCGGATTTTTATTTTGTTATATTGGTTGACGTCGAAAATTATATATGATAGGGCTAGATTATCTAGGTTAGAGTTTGATCTTAGATATTAGTTTAAAATTAGTTATATATGTTAGTGCTAGATTATCTAAATTTAATTTTGATCATAGATATTAGTTTTAAAATAGTTATAAATGTGAGTGCTAGATTATCTAGGTTTAATTTTGATCATAGATATTAGTTTTAAAATTGTTATATATGTTAGTGCTAGGTTATGTAGGTTTAAATTTGATCACACGTTAGTCTAAAAAATTGCTATATATGTTAGTGCTAGATTATCTAGGTTTGAGTTGGACCCTAGATATTGGTTTTAAAAGTGTGCCCTCAACGTTTTATTTGTTCTCTCTTCCCTCCCTTCTTGGTGTGCTGACAGGCGAGGAATGGGAGAAGGAGCTCCAACAAGAGCTGCAGGACTACGAGCTTGTGGGCGGAGAGAATGACGTCAACGACATTGGGGACGACGAGCTGGAGAAGGAGATCCTGCAGCAGCTGGAAGAGGAAGCCGGATCTTTATCTTAGCCTCGTTTCCGTGTCTTTGTGACGTCACTTCCTATTCTGTTTGTAACTCTTTTATTTACAGGCGTGACCTTGTTCTGATATAAAATGCTCTCTTGTAATGTATTGATTTTTTTTTTTTTTGTTTATTGACATTACATTTTTTAACCTGTTCGGTTATGCTCTTGGAGACCAGTTTATATCGTAAGAATATTTAGATTTGTTTTTATTGTTCAAGTTGGATACCTTTTTATAAACCTAATGTGAAATAATTTAATGTAGATTGATTTGTTTCTGCATCATATCTAGAAAGGGGACACTTTAAAAAAATAAAAAAAAAGAACACACTTGTTCACCTTTAAAATAACCAAGTTAGCATCCCCTTGACTATATAAAAAGCTTGTAACAATAAAGTAGACACTGTTGACACACTAATAAAACCGTAGTTGACTATATTAAGTAGTTACAGATGTGTTATAATGACTATAACATGCATGAACACATGTTAAGTCATATGATCTCTTTAATTGTAAATAACAACCAAAGTTGAGGTCCTTTAAACTTTTCAGATTTTTTTATTTTTTCAAAGTTGGCAGCCTTCCCAAACTTTCTAAAGTTTTGTTGTTTGTTGTACCAAGACTAGTCGTTATGGTAGGCCTTAACACCGACATGCAGTGTTGCAACCTGTGGGCAGCTGAGACCAATGGCTTGTTGCCACTCTTACAGACATGTTATGTAGAAACAACGAGCTATTGACCTCCACTGCCCATATGGGGCCACGTTGCCTGTCAGCGTTCAGGGTGATACCGTTTATAACGATTGGTCTCGATTTCTGGTCTTTGTATCTCTTGTGTCTGCTTCGTGTACACATTCATACACACACACACACACTTTCTGAGAAGCATAATTAACACCAGTGCTCAGTGCTGTGATACAAAAAATGATGTGTAAAAAAAATAAACATGGCCTAGTTTTTGTATTTCAATAGCAACGCAAGTTGTTCTCTCAGATCCACATTGATTGATAGGTCCACACATACATACACACTATAAGAAAGTTTATTAAATATTGCTTTTATAGCCCACTTTGTGGAATATTCTAGGGTTCTCTATAAAGACAATGAAGTCTTCTCTATCTGCATCTCAAGACGCAGTCGCTTGATTTTGATTTTTAGTAACATTGACAGTCATTTGATTTTTTTATAGTAACATTGACAGTCATTGGATTTTTTTTTTAGTAACATTGAAAGTCATTGGATTTTATTTTTTTTTAGTAACATTGAAAGTCATTGGATTTTTTTTTTTAGTAACATTGACAGTCATTGGATTTTTTTTTTAGTAACATTGAAAGTCATTGGATTTTTTTTTTAGTAACATTGAAAGTCATTGGATTTTTTTTTTTAGTAACATTGAAAGTCATTGGATTTTTTTTTTCTTAGTAACATTGAAAGTCATTGGATTTTTTTTTTTTTAGTAACATTGACAGTCATTGGATTTTTTTTTTTAGTAACATTGAAAGTCATTGGATTTTTTTTTAGTAACATTGAAAGTCATTGGATTTTTTTTTTAGTAAAATTGAAAGTCATTGGATTTTTTTTTTAGTAACATTGAAAGTCATTGGATTTTTTTTTTAGTAACATTGAAAGTCATTGGATTTTTTTTTTTAGTAACATTGACAGTCATTGGATTTTTTTTTTTAGTAACATTGACAGTCATTGGATTTTTTTTTTTAGTAACATTGAAAGTCATTGGATTTTTTTTTTTAGTAACATTGACAGTCATTGGATTTTTTTTTTTAATAACATTGACAGTCATTGGATTTTTTTTTTAGTAACATTGTCACTTATGGTTGAATTTCTACCTACCCAAAACATCAGATTTGTGCTGCGTGATATATTTAAGTCTTGTTAATTTATGTTTTATATTATAACATTTTTTTAATCTGACCAAGAAAAAATATTTTTTATTTGCATAAATTTGATTTGTGTTTGTGTGTCTGTGTGTTTATACTACCTAAACTATTTGAACCATTATACAAGTATTTTGTTCTGTACATAGGTAGAGCTCATATATCTATTTGAGTCTCATAGAACTTTTAAGAGGGACATAATATCAATGTAGGACTTCGATTATTTTCTGTTTTTATGTATAAAATGTGCTTGTTATCCCCCATTACACTTAGCAAAGTGAAACTTTGTTTCTGACACCATTTGTTTTCTACTCTCTTGTGATAGAAATATATTTTGTAGGTTTACCTGGGTTTTAAATAATCAGTGGGTTCTGAGTTGTTGTTTTTTATCTTTCCGTTTTTCTTACTTAAACATAGGTCAGTGCTGTTGTTATTGGACACTTATTGGAAAGGCATATTAGTTATTATCAACTTTGCATCGTATTAAAATGTGCTAGACAAAATGTCACTTTAGTAGATTTTGTTTGCTTAGTTAATTAGTCTATCAAAAACCTTTTAACTAATAAATAACGTTTGATCAGTTGTCAAGCAATTTTTTCAGAGGCTTTTTTTAAATTCGTAACATATTGGAGGTTATTATTATTATTATTGTTATGATTAATAATATTATTATTATCGAGTTGTGTTAGTTGAATGCAACACTTTTGTCTATCATTTCATTAAGTATCTATTTCTGTGTCTCTTTTTATTGTTCAAGTCATATGAGCTCATTCATCTGAGCATTGTTGGATTGCATCCCACCACACTAACCCACACACACACACACGCCATACCCATGGCATCTTGAAATATGGTAGGAACCACAGCAGGATTATTTGACTTTCACTTTCTAATTTTGTTTCGTTTCCTTGCTTCTTCTTTTCTTTTTTTTTAATATACTTTTTTTGTTTTTACTTTTACACTTTTAGAATTTCTCGTTTCACGTGTTCATATGTTTTCATGCACTATGTCTGTCTGAGTGTTGGTTTCTCGCTGTGGGCTATGTTTTTGTGGTCCACGGTAACGTCCTAGGGCGCGTTCGCCCCTTCCCCCCCCTCCGCTTTTTTTTTATATATCCTTATCGTTAAAATGGCGACATTCCGTTAGTGCCATAGACGTCTTTGAACTTTGACCCTCAATTCACGCAAACGTCACAGGCAGAAGTCATTAGCTAGGCACATTGTACGACACTCAGTGTTTGTAGACATCGACTCGTAATAGTAGTGCTTTTGGACTTTGGGATAGGGATTTTTTTTTAATGGTAAACTACGGTGATGCCCGGTCTAAGACACTGGGGCCACATCTGGCCCCATAACACATTGCTACCCTGGCCCAGAGTGCATGAAAGAGACATGTTTTTTTTTTTACGGGGGAAGGGGGTATTAAATTGGTCCGAGACCCGCTTGTCGCAAAATTCTAAGGCCCCTTCCCCCATGGATGAAATAATGGGAATCATTGGACTAACAGAACTGATGCATGGTTTACCAACATTACATGGCAAAATTTCATTTTTTTAAAATATAGAGACTCTTCATTCACAGTGGAAATTTCATAAATCACCAGCTGAAGAGTAAAAACAACTATTGATATTTTATTTTTAACACCATTGGCGGCTTATTGAGTTTGAAGTTCAGTTTCTGTGTAGAATAAAATTTGTCGGCGTGTATATATCTTTATTGTTTTATTGTAGAGATATCAGTTGGTTACAAATAAACTAAGGTTAATTATCAATAACTTTGTTATTCCTTAATGACTTTATTATTTATTAATGACTTTGTTATTTATCAATGAGTCTGTGTCTCTTATACATTTTGATATGACCTCATTCATAGAAACGAGATGAATGCCTGGGCATTAGCTGTGGTCGGAACAATGTCACCCACACATTAGATCCCCCCCCCCTCTCCATGCAACTGATATATCCCAAAGGAAAAGCAAGTGCGGATACTGTTTGGGGTCTTCGGCGAGCATGTAACACTGAGTGCTGAAAACCGCCAAAGGATCGCAGGCTCCTGTTGTTTTGACTCCCGAAATCTTTCCTATGTCTGGATAAAGCTTTTAAGGCTGCAGAGGTTTGAATTCAGAGTTGTCCTTCTCCCAGGTGGGTAGCCAGCCATGCCTTACGACCCCCCTCCTCCCCGAAGCTTGCAGGTTTAGGCGCCAGCTACTCGCCTTCATCCCTTTTACTGTTAGTGAGAACAGTTCCGCCGCACTCTGAGACACACGTGAAGCCCAGGAATCGGACTGGTTGTCAGGGGCTATTTGAGACGCATGCCATTAGGAAGCATTTTATAGGTAGTGGAGTGCTTATATCCATGACCACTTTTCATTTAGAGATGTGAAAGCATCATACAGTTCTACTTTTCCAACACATGTGTCACTGACCCTAAAAAATTTCTATGGGATGGATATAGCCCGCTGGCCGTGCTTTATGCATCACAATGTCACGCGGACTCACTAGGAGTTATCGTTGCTGTCAACAGAATGGCCTGACCTATAAAAGTTGCTCTAAAAAACCCTCTTCGGGAAAATCCTGTTTTTTTATTTGCGCATGACAATTCGTCATGGTAACCGCCTCCATACCCCACCCCCTTCAACTCTGTTTATATTTAGAAACATGCTAACACTGGAATTTCCCGCACGAGGCACAAAAAACATCTTGATGAGAGAATTTATCCACTGTAATAATTAGGTTGATGTATGTATCTCTGGCTGAGTGATCTAAAAAGAGGGGGGGAGGGGGGTGAATCGAACAAAATAATGGTTCTTGTGAAAACGCAACATGCACAAGAGATTTTCAGCTTGACCCTGTGACCTTTTGCATCGCCTACAAAGCACTTGCATGTTAACAAGAAAATATATGAAAATTTATTGGAAACTTGTCTAAGAAATGTATGTAAGATTTAAATAGGAAGCACCGCACATTAAGCAAACTGAAGGGCGGGTTAAGTGGGGGAAGAGATAGAGAGGAGAGGAGGAGAGGGATGTATAAGGATAGAGAAAAATACCGAAGCAAGAAGAAATGACTCTTTTTTTCTATGAATTGTACATGGTCGTTGACTTGTAGCACTATACTGCTGGTAGGCATGTGATCTGCAGTTGGCGTATTATATTTTAGCTAGGCACTAAACTATCAGAAGAGCTGCACTCTCACAGGTCAAAAGGCAATCCACACATAGTAGTTCATATAGACCACTGTTAATCGATTGTATAGACTTTGAAAAACAAATCAACTGACATCGCAGATCTTGTAAAATCTTTTACATGTTTCGGATGTTCCTTCTGAGTTAAAGATAATCTACTACTACCTAAACCTCCATGAGGACGACGGGGATGGCAGTGGGCAGGGTATGAGACAGAGACCATCGAACGACAGTCCAGCGCGCATACCGCACTACCAGGCAGCCACCTTGTGACTCCATGACAGCTACCTATTAATAATAATAATAATAATTATTATTATTAAGGCTTGTCTTGGAGTCCGAAGATAAACGAGGAGTACAGTATCTCACGTGGCTATGCAGTCCCAGCTGTAACCTACATATTTTGCCCCATGCATTTGCAGACAACCGTTTTCCACCGGTGGTCGATTTAGTTTCTCTTTTCGTCCACCTCACAAATGTGTATCCCGCTTGGTAATAAAATCTCCAGCTGTCACGAAGCCGCCAGCTGCTAGGTGCTCTCTTCTATGTTAATATAACAAACCAATCCAAAATGAATGCACGCTTTCACAATTCCTCTAACAAAAGTCACCACCTGACTTTACTGACCACCTGACTTCACTGACCACCTGACTTCACTGACCACCTGACTTCACTGACCACCTGACTTCACTGACCAACTGAATTCATTGACCACTTGACTTCATCGACCAACTGACTTCACTAAGCATGAATTGAAGAGGAAACTTCAAAACTCATAAAAAACAAGGTGCTCCAAGAAAGTGCTAAACGGCGCTAACTTGACAATCAGGCTGATTGAAACTAGAGCAAGTTGAGAAGGATAGCTAAAAAATAATGGGCTATTGCTAATTCATTTTAGCAGCGGACAAGCTACGAAAGGATAGCAGGCCTGGAGTCACAGCTGAGATTCAAACGGGGTTTAGAGACTTTTCATAAACTTTAAGAAGCTTCTAATTTTACTATACATATGTTAAGATCTGTTCTGCTTGAAAAAAGAAAAAAAGAGTAAAGTCTGAAGCTCATTATGAAGATAGTTTCATTTTAGTGTCGAAGGCTATGCCTATTGGTCTTTTTATATTATTGTGCGTTTTGCAAGTGCTGCTGTGGACTGTGCTATTCTAGCCAGTACTTCAGGTTTGGTTCCTTCATCTGACACGATAGCTCTGAGCCATTTATAACTACGCCAGCATTTCATCTCCAAAAATGTCTTTTATAGTAATAAATTTTCATTTAAAACCATTTTAAACATTTGGAAGGCCTGAGCTATGTAAAGAGGCTTCTATTCGATCAAGTTTGAGATCCACTTGATTACAAGTAGCTAAATAAAATAAGTAAAAAAACGACGGATTTGTTTGCATCATTTTCGTTTAGCCTACTCATTTGTTTATATTCATCACATGACTTTGTAACGGCCATCAAGCTATTTTTAGAAATAATGAAGGTGAAGGACATTCTATTTGTGAACTTTATCGAAGCGTTTCTAACGCGAATTTATTCTCCGAGCTCTTCATACCGAAAGAGCTTAAAAATTATATCGACGAAGAGGTCACGCAAAATCTATAGTCGGTAATTATGTCGCTATATCTAGTTGTAGTTCTAGCTTGGTTGAATGTTGTTGGAGTTAACATTGTCTAGGGACTTTTTTTTATGTCAGAAAACACAAAGTGATCCGATAGTTACAATGGATGATACAAAGTCAGATATTACAATAAAAAAATATTTGTTTTTAAATCTCTAAATGTTTTCCCTTTAATTCTAAATTTATTTTTTATGTCCGAGGTCTCTATTTTTTCCTTTATTTCTTGATTAAAGACCAAAAGGCAGTTTTGGGGGGGGGGGGGGGGGACTGGACGGAGTGATGGTAAAACCTTCTTTCAGACAATAGAAATACATTGTTCGTCATTCATGGTTACATCAGCAATACGCTCTCATATTCCAGATCTCCGTCTCGACAGGTGTGGTAAACAGAAATTCTCGACCTGTATGGTGACATGTATGCACTACGCAAAACAGCAGGGTTTCTGCCCAGGGCTTTTGCAAGAGAGGATTTGAAATACATTAGCAACACGCACTCACATTCCACAACACATAACACTGCAATTAACATCATTATCAACCTTAACGAAAACAAATCTTATATCTTCTGTACAGAACCAGGTCTCAGAGCCAAAGTGTGGTCATAAAAGTGTGTCAATATCACCAGTCAATGTCACAAGTCTATGTCATCTGTCTCAGACTATTGAAGCGTTCGTACATTATGAGTGAAAACATGTCAATGTTCAGTCGTGGGACAAGAAGCAGAAGCTAAAACAAGCTGATAAAAAAATGTTGTAAATCAGATTATTTTGCTCTTGATAACTAATGAATGATACAAATTAGGGGGGGGGGGAACACTTTTTACTATCTCCCCAATTTCCCGTCCCGAAAAAATCCTGGTTAAGCAAATGTATAAATCTACTAAAAGTATATAATGTTCCGATGATAGCCCAGTGGCGTCACTATGCAGGGGGTGCGGTCCGCACCAGATGACACCTTCCGGGGGGGGGGGGGGGGGATGACCCCCAAGTGGAAAAGAACTGTACTTTGGAAAAAAAAACAGACAACTTAGACGAAAATAAGTGATTAGCTAAGAACCCAAACATACTTTGATCTATCTATTGAAAATTGGAACGCAAAGGTTGTCTTTCGTTTAAGGACAAAATGTCGGTTGTATTTGCATTACAATTCTTTCATATTTTATTATTAATCAAGTACGAATTTTTAAAAAATCTAAACTAGAGCCTTTTCCCATTAACTCCAAGATTGATTCAAATTGTTTTTAAACAAGACGTTTTCAATACGTCTTCAACAGCGCAATTTGAAAGTCTTCTAACTTCTTATGGCAGAACTGATACATTTCTTTCGACTGACGTACAATCGTACTATCGACGTATTTTACGTGACTAGACCAGGCATGCTACAAGCCTTCTTGCTAAACATGAATATGATCAAATAACGATCAAGCTCATTAAAAACTTGCTTGTTATACTGCCAGTGTTTCTCAAACTGGGGGGGGGGGGGGGGGGGGGAGAGAAGTCTTTCAAATTATTTTACAAGGGTAAAATTAAAAAGTTGTATTTTTTGTTGTAGTAATCAACCAACGCCCTAATGAACCTAGTCTCTCATTCTTAGGCCAGAAATTCTCACAACTGTTGAATGTCTTTATTTTGACGACTTTTTGTGTGACGAAAAATAAAAGCTCCGCAGCGTAAGTTCAAACTGAACAAGAAAATGATCTTAAGAGACCATCACGCCCACTACAGACATACGTGCGCTATGTGTAGCTCGAATATTCCTAGTATAACCGTAGTGACCAATGCTGACTCCTCCTTTATTAGACTTTGATTGGCTTACGACTTTTACTTTTTTTAAAAAATTGAATGAATATTTCTTGCAAGAAAATAATTAAAAATCGGAACGTCCTTGCCTGTTATATTTTATTCTTTTTTTACTACAACAAAAAAGCGCTTTGTAGACGCCAGGAAAAAGAAATATGAAGGAAGGCTCCTTGCGA